CTTACGGCTCTCTTCTCCCCGCAGCTCATCGACTACGCCAAGCGGGGCGACCGCGATGAGAAGGCCATGCGCATGGCGGACTTCTGGCTGACGGTAAGTACGGAGCGGGGCCGGGGCCTGGCGCCGGCCCTGCCGGTGGCGGTACCGAATCTGTGCGTTCCGCCCTGCAGGAGAAGGACCTCATCCACAAGCTGTTCAAGGTGCTGGCGCCACGGTACCAGCCGCACCCCGGCAAGTACACGCGCATGCTGCACATCCCCAACCGCGACACCATAGACCGTGCCAAGATGGCCGTCATCGAGCTCAAGGGCAACCCCTTCCCGCCGCTCATCCGCCCGCAGCCCGACAGTGGGAAGACGCTGCTCAACCAGCTCCTCCAGGGCTACCGGGAGGACATGCAGCGGGCCACACGCGCCCCCGAGGGCACCGCCGTGTAGGTCCCCGTCTCCTTCCCCAAGGAAGCCTCACGCAAGTGTGGGGATGGGGCTTGGCATGAGCCACTTGTACACGAGGCTGGCAGGCTCGTCTGCAGGGGCAGCTCCACGCCATCTCAGAGCACACGCACTGAAAGCGTCCAAGGAGGCCTCAGCATTGATCCCAAGCTTTGAATTATTCTAACAGTACGCACAAGCTCAAGGTTTACTTCCTCCTTCCTGGGGCTTAATAGCAATTCAGCAAGAGAAGGAAATCAAGCTGAGAAGTTAATGCTCTTTGTGTAAATAAACGCTATTCAGAAAGTGAGGTTAACACTGTTTTGATTATATTCCTGTGTACATTGTGCTGTAATTATTTATTACAACCAAAACCTTGGTTTCAATTTCTGGTCCTGTATCTCCCTGCCTGAGCTGCTCAGCCGCTATTAGAAGCCACTGTGCAGACATTCAGAGCTGTGCTTGCCCGAATAACCCTGTAACTGCTGGGAGATGTGACCATTGATTTGTACTTGAAAGCTCCCTCCAGGTTCACAAGCTGGGGGTGCTGAGTAATGTCATCCTTGAGTATGTAACAAGGTGCGAGCTGTATAGAAGGCAAGTCCTAATGATGCAAAAGAACTTGCACTTTGGTAGCATTCTGTTCTGGATTCTTATTTCACAGAGCATCACCTCTCTGTTCCACTGATAGTTCCAGTGAGAAGTTAAGGATGCACAGTGCTGTTTGGCAAAAGAAGGGGAAAGGAGGGGGGGTTATTACCAAAAAGTCTCAGAGAGAGTGCGCTTCTACTGACCTTGAAATGGTGCCGTTTGTAGATGACCTAACATCTTGTTCAAACAATTTTCTCTTCAACAGAAGAGATGTACAAGACTGCTACTACTGTGTAGCTTCTACATTATCTTTTCTATCTCTTTTTTTTTTCCTCCTTGAATACATTTTTCACCCCGATAAACTGATATCCAGTGCATTACCAGCAAGCTGATGAGTCAGTATGCTGAGTTTAGTTCTCGGGGGATGACTCTTGTGTGAGGACAGATGTGACCCCAGCTTTTCATTGAGGAGTTTTGGTGTGATACGGTTCCTACAAACCTGGAAGGCAGAGGACAGTTCTCTTTCACCTGCACAGTCTCTTAGAATTCAGATCAGAAGCCCGAAAGCCATGTTCAGCTGCATTACCACGAGTGTGGTACCTACCAGTTTATTCTCATCGTTCAGCAAAACAGCTTTTCAGTGGGATTAATGAAAAACTGACAGGTAAGATCTTAAAGGGTGAAGTTGAAATGTATGCCCATCTGTCACTTGCTAAGAGGAGAAAGGATAGCGACTGACAGACTGTTTCGATAAAAAAATCAAAGGCTATGATCATTAAAGAAAAAAAAATCCTCAAGGGAGTAATTAGATTAGTGTGGCACTAGCTCTAACGCAAGCTCAAAATACTGCTATGCCTGTGTTGCTCATATGTAAAAGATCTGATCTGTAACAGCCAGAGGCAAGAGAAGGCAGACATACAAGTTTGTAGAAACACAAGTGTGAAAACACCAATTTAGAAAGACAATTGGATAAAAATGTTTAACGAGGAAAAGCAAACTAGAGCCTCTTCTAGGTGTCCTTAATAACTCAAGGAAGAAAAGTGTAAAAAAAGCTAGAAGCTTCTAAGTATGGGAAAAGTCTGGATCCAAATTCTTAATATATAGATTCTTACTGTGCATATGCTTTTTTGATAGGCGTATTGAGATTAGGACAGCTGACAAAGCTTTCAGTCTCACAAGCACCGTGCATAGTCCCTCTGAATGCAACTGTTCTGCTACAGGCCGATGCTTCTGCCACGAAGGGAGGCTGCCCTCTTGGATTGTCTTGTACTCCAATGGGTCAGGCTTTCAGCTGCCTGTAGAGAAAAGCAAAAGGAAAGGTCACCACACACGCATTCTGGCTGTCAGTCAACTCTTCCTCATTACAGCCATGATAGATGCAGCTGTACAGGTCCATGAGATCCTTTTTGTGTTCTACCCCATTCCCTCAGCATTTACAAGGTGAAAAGCTCACCTGATTGCAGCTTTCAGACTCTGATACCAGTCATTAATATCTTGTTGATCAGTGGACATCAACAAAAGTGTCTTGTGTGGAAAGGAAAGCTGGAAGAGAAGCAGAATCTGGTGTCGCTCTGTACCAACCCTTGCCAAGGTGGCAACTCCGACACAAGGAGAGACATGCCCACTGACCTTCCAACTCAGCCCTGCATGCAGATTTCCACTATTTTTTCCCCCCTAATAAAACAAACAGTGGCACTAGGGAAAACCAGAGACTGGACAGTACAGACCCAATGCAAAACCTGTCTTACTGCAGGCATCCATGCTACAGGTGACAGCTCCCTTGGGTTCCTGTGCTTAACAGGGTGCTTGAAAGTGGGCAACGTCAGTCCTCATGTGCTTTGTTTTTTTAATGTTTTTTTTTTCTACCAAACACTTACACTGAGAAGCCCTCCCTGGCTCTGTGTATGGCCAAACACTTTATCCACAGTGCACTCCTGAAGTGGGTAGACAGCCTGGCATGTGAATTTGTTCGAGTTTAACAGGTGCAGCGGATGGCAGGGCCTTGTTACAATAAGGATATCAGAAAAAAGGAAGAACATTCTGTGCTTCAGTTCTTCTCCCTTTGAAGGCACCACCAACAGCCAGCCTTCCCGGATATACCAGCGCCCTGAGCGTGCAAGGGAAACAGACAAACAGACAGTTGTAAATTACTGGCCAAAAAAAGGCATTACAGCACCACAGAAAACATATTTTCTACCTTCACTCAACAACGTACACACATTGCAACAACCACATTCAGATTGGAGCTATGTCTTGGAGACCCTTAAACAGAGCAATTTCAAAACTCTTCTCCAAGCGACCATTTCACAAGTGTCCAGGCTGGACACATTTCCTACGTCTATAAGTTGGAGCATGCTCTTGGCATGGAGAACACGGTCACACAAGAAAAATCTGTTATCCAGGGAGATGACCTTGGATGCCAGTGACTGTCACCATATACATCTTGGCTGTCAACACAAATACTCTGGTTTGTGGCACTTAAACCATGCAGATAAAAGATTCTTATCATGTACAGGGTGTGGTTCATGCATCTTAAAATAAAACAACACAGTCACCAAGCCCTTAACACTCAAAAAGGGTATGCAGTTCGTGCATGGAGAGGGAGAACACTGCTACTTACGTTCTTCCAAAATCCAAGTATTTCTCTCATTCTCACCTAACACTTGCTCTCCTGACCTCCTTGGACTCTCAGTGACTAACTTTGAGCTACATATCATCAACTTCTGTCTGAAGGTCAGGCAATTAAGCTGCTGGTTATTCTTGCCAAAATACTTTTCTATTACTCATTTTCCATTTTAAAAGTGCCCAGGTAAGTAATTACTAGCTACATTCTACATGACTACTGACTAGTTATGTTCCTTCACCACCTATCTGGAATTTGGGCAGTATGATTTGGGTCAGACATGAAGACAATTCAGGTGCATTTCAGGTATCTCGGTCTAACAGGAAAAGCAGAGCTGTTTGTAAGACCCACCTGGTGCCAAGACCTTGGTCTTCTGTCCTTTCAGCAGTTTCTGAATCCGAAGTAGTTGCAGTGAGTTCTCTCTGTTACGAATGACATCTTGGACCCATCGAGATACCTCAGAAACGCAATTCACAGCCTCTGAAATTACAGCAGCATATTCTGAAGTTGCATGAGTACATGCTATTCTTCATCTATCTTGATGTGAAAAGAATGGTGAAATTAAGAAATTACTATTTTAAACCAAGTATGAGCAATGAAGTTGCTCATTAATTTCAGCAGATTAGACCTCCAGAGGCCCCTTTCAACCAAACTTCTATGGTTCTGAAAAGACATATGTTTGCCAGTGAGATATCAAACAAAGAATTTTCTGAATTTGAAAGGGAAAAAAAATGCCTCACTGCAAGTAATGTTGACTGCTGATAGATGATAAAGGGCCTAGGAAAAAATTGAAGGAGAGGACCAAAAGAGCACTCGTTTTTCTGGTGTAACCTCTAGACCTTTCCCACTGTCTGCTGCTCTCCATTGCTATTTCCTGTACCTGCCTCCTGGGATATAGCTCTGGATCAAAATGGTGATAGGAAGCAGTAATGCCCTAAAACCTCAGAGAGAAGAGAGCTTTGTGTTTTTCCCTGTGGAAAGTAGATGGAAGATTAGAATCAGCAAGGAGTTTAACTAATAAAGATACCAGGATTTATAAGGAGGAACATACTTGCAAGTTTCTGGTACTCTGTGTTATCTGGGCTGGTGTTCTCCAGCAGGTCTCTGAGAAAGTGTTTGTACCTAAGATAGAAGAGCAGTTTTATTTCACAAAGAGACACCAGAAACAGCAGCCACTCCTATTTGTGAAAGATGGTGATGATTTTTTTTCCAGGCTATGCAATCTGAACCTGAAGGGCCAAGCCACCTCTGATTTTAGCCCTGTTATTATCAAGGCATCCAATAAACTGCCTCCCCTTTTTCCATAAGTCTATCACATTATGTTCTCTTACATTTGTGACACCCAGGCCTTCTTCACGCGAGAACTGTGCCATCTGTGCCAGGGAGTCTCTGCTTTCATCAAGAGCCTGTCCTCCCACATTCCTCCATCCTGGACAGCAGACCAGTTCTGCCATTCTCTGGAAATGTGGTTCACTAATTACATAACTTATATAATTTTTATATATAGTTTTTAATGCCCTTTGCTGCAATCCCCTTGCCACACACAAGCCAGAACCAAGACAACACCAGTGTGCATCTAGAAAGAAAAATAAGAGCCAAGAATTTTCTAGACAGATTGTCAGTAAACTAAAGAAACATCTCTGTGTCCAGCAATCCTACTGGCACATACTGACATCCAGCCCATCAGATACAGATGCAAGATGTCTGTGTTTTTTTGTCTTTTTCTGTAATTTCTCAAAACCTTCCTTAATTTCATAAAACAATATGTTTGTTCAGTAATATGCTGCTGTTCTGTTCTTTGGAGTAATGGCTGCAGTTAATTAAAGATATTTTAATAACAGGTCTAATCCTCCAATTTATAGCAATGTCTTTGTGTTTTTTTTTAGTGTGGGAATGTGAGCAGGGAACATAGTATTAGTATTATTAAATTATTATTAAAACCCAATAGTTCGGAGAGTTTTGTCTGGTACTGAAGACATTCCTATGTGAATGTTGAACTATGAGAGTTTTGTGAACTTATTCAACATACGTGGTTGTTTCTATCACCTCTCCAGGAAGTGGCTTCCAAATATATGAACTTCATTACTAAATATGAAAATAAAATGAGTATGTTCAAAGAACTGTGAGGTAGAGCTCCTGTCATGTAGAGCACTCAGAATTGCTTACTTACTGGTGCAATCTCTTCAGGGGCAAAGGAAGAAGATCCTCTAGCTTCCTCCCTTGAAAATGAGGTCGAGACTCCTGGAGTTTCTTAAAGCGTCGAAATGACTTATTCTTCTTCAGCTGTTCCTATGTGGGACAGAGCACAGAGCTTGAGAGTACAGAATAAATATAAGCACAGACTTTAATGTCCTGTGCCTGAACTTCAAAAGCAGAATTCTAGTCCTAAACACAACCATCTGCTACTTCCTTTGTGGCCACGGACAAACTGTTTGCTTTCTCCTAACCATCATTTTCCCTGAGGGCAATGTTAGTGACATCCCCCGTTCATGCACAGCAATATAAAGCTAGTTTACATGGCACATAGAAGCAAAGAAAACAAGGAAGGGTATTTTACACAGGTAAAAAGCAAAGAGTCCATCAGTGACTTTTATCACCAACCTTGCGCTTTTATTTCTTCAAAGCAAGTACTCAAATTGGCTTACTTTTCCCTTCTCATTTTTCATATCAAAAGTGAATGCATATGAATAGAAGCAGGGCAGAAACATATTAGAATATTTCCTATAGCAGTGAACAAGTTCTGACAAGAACTTGTAGGCAGGTGGCATGAATTCCAGGTAGAGTTTTCAGGAGTTCAAAATATATCCTGAAATCTCTTGGAAGACAGGAGAAGAGGGAGGTAGAAAGGGGAAAAGGAAAAGAATAAGCAAGGAGGGAGGGAAAGCAAAATTTTCTATTGTAGAAAGGAATAAAAAAAGTGGGGGAAGGAAAAAAGGATATTCCACTGGAATCATTGAGTAAAGCTCTGCTCCCTCAAAAAAAAAAAGGGGGAAAAAAAGGCATGCTGGAAACAACAAGCATTAAAAATTTGAAACTTTAAATAAGTTTCATGACAGAGAGACTTGTGAATAGCAGCAGCAGCACAGAGAGAAGAAGAAAACTTATCACTCCAGAAACAGAAGTAAGAAAAAGGGAAAGGAAGAAAAGAAAACAGGAAGGAGATAGGAAACGCTTACCTTCAAGGTTTTATCTGCCTGCTCCAAATTCTCAGAATAGTGACCATAAAGCTCCAGTTTCTGACATAAATTTTCCAGTCCTATTCCCAAATTCCCTCTCTCCAGGTGAAGTGAGAAAACCCTGTGCGTAGGAGGAAAGAAAACTATGGAGGGATACATCCCTTACCACATTTTCCCAGTTCCCTGTGATTAATTCCTATACTGACTTGTGTTTGTCAGCCAACACCTCACATCTTGTTTTCCATCCAGAGCATGTACATAATGTTCACAATGTCATCTGTAGAAAGTATTCCTTTCAAAAACATACTGCAGATTTACTGAGTTAAAAAATCACTGTCCAGACAGCAAGGTATCCAAATGTGTGGATAGAAAACAGCAGTTACCTGGTACATCTCCAAGTGCAACCAGGGCTAGCAGTGCTAGAAGTGAATGCCTGTTTCCCGAGACGTTAGGTTTACTTCCTGAAATCTTGTTTCCTCATCAGTATAGAATCCTCCCCATGTAATTGAAGAAACCATATCAGAAGGTTCACTTACTGGCTGGCCTCGTATATGGATTCTAGGGGTCCAAATATGGTTTCCAGCACAGCAGGTTTTAGCGTCCCTTTGGCCTTTAAAATTTTCACGAAGAACTAAGCGGGAAAAAGAGAACTTATCAAACAGTTAACACAGCTCTACAGGATTGACTGGGTCTATTTCACTATTCCTCGATGCACGTGTTTTTAACCATGTCTGTTCTCTTTGCCCCCTCTGTGTCCCTCTGTTTCAAAGATCTCAAACATCTCAAGTCATGTGCTCCCTACATCCACAGCTTTGTGACTTACATCTGGATATGGACGAAAGCCAAGGGGCCAAAAAGCACAAACCATCAAATGTGACAGAGGAGGTAAAAAGTACCTTTCAGTCCCAACAATGTGAAAGGTGGGGACATGTCCCATGCCACAGATGCAGAGTGCTGCTCTGCAGCACTTCCCAATGAGAACATGCTGCCTGAAAGCACCCACGCACCTAAGGGAGCCAGAATACTCACTGTGACCACCAGATCCAGCTGCCCAAGATACTGGTGTTCAGTTTCCAGCAGCTCCTTGGCCGTCCGACTGCGCTTCCTGCCCCAACGGGCCCTCTGCTCTTCGACGGTGTTTACTCCAGCCATTAACATCAGGGCTGAGTCACTCAAGGCAGACACAGGGCCAAGATACAGAGAAGAGTATCCTGAAGAGCCAAGAGAGACCAACACATGACAAACGCATGACCTACGTAGAGCAACACGTCTAGGCTTTGCTGCGGGATTAGGAAATCAGTTAGGAGCCACGGTCATTAACAGCTTCCCTGGACATTCCTGCCTGCAGATAACAGCAGCCCTGCTTCAACCAGAGGAACAGCGTTAGAAAGCTCAGACTGTGAGAGCAAGAGAAGCCGCACATTGCGGCGGGGGGGGGGCAAATCCCAAGCACTCAACCCCACATTTTCTAGCCCACAGGCTACTGCTGCCCGTGTTTTGCCTAATTCTTTATGTAACATTCTCAATAAAAATCAAGGAAGTTAGTGAGTGGAAGCAGAAAATATAAGTAGAAACCAGCCATAGAATTGATCTTGGGAGAGGAGAGACAGAGAGCTCTTACGCGCTTTTCCCAGAGGTTCTCTAAGAAACTGGTGTTTTTTCTAACAGTTGCTTGTGGTCTTAGAATGAGAAAGACCAAGCAACTGCCATGAATCACACTGTTCTTCTCATCCATTCAGGAAACAACAATTTTGCCATTCTAATAGGGCAGACGTGATGTCTCATTTAGTTAGAGAGAGAGAGTACGGATAAAGCTAATAACAGATAAGCAAGAGCTCAGCATCAGCATGAAGTTGCAGAGTGCTCACAAACAAGACCAGAATAACCACTCATCGCGTAGTTTTAGGCAGGGAAGGCTTGTTGTGAACCCTTGAGATTGTGAACCCTTTTCCACCTTTGGCAGCCTAAATCTGCAGGAAGACCAGAAAATGCTTTATCTAGCGATGGCATGAGCAGCTCAGCTTGCTTCTTTCCAGACACAGAATAAAAGTTATGATTAGACTTTCTGTACAGTTAGCTACTCCGTGTTCTGTTAGAAATACTACCTGTAATCTTTCTAGAATTGCTTCTTAATATTTTAACAGTCTCAAAAAAAAAAAAAAAAAGTAACAAGAGAAACCTCCCTTTATTACCTTAGCCCAACCACCCCTGATATTTCCCTGAAATCTTAACAACCCAGCACGTCAGCTCTAAGGCCATGTGCCTCGCACTGCACCCTGTCTCCAAGGTTAGTGACATTCCCAGGGGCTTTCAGCCACATGCTCCATTCTCCTACTGTCGTACCCCAACCAGAGAGAAACCAACGAGTCTTTTAAGACAAAAACAGGTCCAACAGCCCTGGAAGAAGAGCCTGCAGTTAGGACTGATCCTGCGCACACAGCTAGACACGCAGCTTGGCGATTTCTGTGCAGAGCGGAGGGCAGATTCCTGATCTGGCTCATGGGGTCCTTTGATTTGGGCCCCTGCAGCGAGCAGGGGAGAGTGGCACACACATGTACTGAGTGTGCAGGACCTCTTGCAAAGGCTCTGTCATTTGGTCTGTTTCCAAAGCAGGGCAGCAATTCACCAGGGCACCTGCAGGGAAAACCACATGATCCTCAGGGAACGTTGCTTCCACTTCCTGCGACTGACCTTGTGGAGAGCAGCTCTGAGGAGAAAGACCTGGGTGTCATGGTGGATGACAAGTTGACCATGAGGCAGCAGTGTGCCCTCGTGGCCAAGAAGGCCAAGGGGATCCTGGGGTGCA